TGTGATTTGAATATAGAATAATGGGTTATACTTGTGGATTTAAGAGGAACTACAAAAGGAGTACAACAATAATAAAGGAGCACAAATCGAGCTTTCGTTGCAAGTAAGTATTCTATACCTATATCATCCCTAAATAATATTGATTTTAGTAGTTTGTTTTAAATTGTGAATCTTATGCCTATAGAAGAGACCACTAAGAGAAAAGATAAAATGGAATGAATGAGAAATGAAAAATTAAATTTAAGTTAAGCATCTGAACGGGGATGATGAATGGTGGTAATGAATTACAGAGGATGAGGAATGCTAAACTTGATTAACTATTCAGGTTGAGAATAGTTAATAATATCGATGGATGACATTGATATCAACAAATTCATAAAATTTAATTAGCTTGTCTAAGGTGAAAGCTAATGATATCAAGGATTGTTAACATTGATATTTTCAAGGATACTCTAAGGTGATATGGAACACTGATTGACCATTTCAATTTAGAAATAGTCAATGACATCAACAAGTTACGTTGATGCTGGCATTCCCAAGGATTTGATGAATTGACCCTGAAATGGATGACTAAAGGAACAGAGTCATTAGTGTCAACAATGACCTTCCCAGTATTGTGAAGAAGCAGTACTGTTGTTATCTTTGATGAAAAAGAAAAAAGGAGATATATTTATGAATATTTATAAAATAAAAATATTGAACGGTTCTGAGAATGATAAATAAAGATGTTTTGATGTAAAGTTAAATAAGAATTTTCTAATAAGTATGATGGTATACTAATGAATATATTTGTTTAATTATATGTGCTAGTGTTGTATGATTTTTCCTTCTATGCTATATTTATTCTTGTTATATTATTTTAAAAACTATGAAATTATAGGTCCTTCCCACCCGCATCAAGACTAGTATTTAAGTCCTTTAGTTCTCTTCTGTATGGATCGTGAATCTAAGAAAACATCTATGTATTTTTTTTTTTTGTAACTATGTAACTGAAATTGTAATAGCATTCTCTTTATATTAAATGTCTTAATACAAGATTGTATTATTTTGTATTTGAAATCCTATCGTTTGCATGCCCTCTTCACTTATTAAATGATGCATATTTAAATGTGAAAGAAAATGAGTAGATAAGGTGTTATATGTATATTCATGAATGAATTGTTGAATTGAACCTCAATACAATTGTGATGCGATTGAGAAATAAATATAAAATGAGTGCAGGATGATTTGTCGATAACTTGAGATCTCTCGGTATAGAGGAGACTCTACCAAAATTTCATTAGAAATTTTAAAGATTCTTATATGCTTAATAAAAAATAAAATAAAATTATTCCATGTTTTTTCTCCTTTATATGAATGATAGAATGATTTTGATAATGGGGATGCTAATGATACAATGATTTTGCTAATGGAGATGTTATAATACAAAACTCAATAAACTCACTTATGCTTTTAAAGTTGTCAAAAATCGATTAAAACATAAAAAATCAACGAAAGATCTCAAATTTTTCTAAGCTCTAATCTACTTTTTTTGAGCAATTTGAAGGCTAATAACCACCACCATTTAATTCCCCAATTTTATGGCTTCCTCAAATGACACATTTAAGTACCAAACTTGATCACTTTTATAGTTTACATCATGACAACCAATCGCTTTCTCTTTTTAGTATCATTTTTCATTGAGTCTTAAAAAAAAAAAACTTGTGGGTCGAAATAAACATTGACATAAATTTCAAATTAGACTTATTGTTCTCCATGTTTTAAAGTTTAGTCCCTTTTTTTTTTTTAGTACTACAATAATTGCAACACTAATTCCATCTAATTAGGCAATTGAAGAACACAATTAAAAGGGGAAAAAAAATGTTTCACTTTCAAATGAGCAATGACCATTAAAGACCCCATTTTTTTTAGAAGTATATTTTTTGACATAAAAAACCATAACCGTAAATTAATGCATGCATTTAATTAAATAAATCTAGAATCATTTGTGCCAATAAACATATAGAAAATCAACAATAATTAAAACCCAAACTAAAAAAATCAAGAGATTGTTATAAATCAAGAAATTTAATCTTATGACATAGGATAGGTTCTCCATTTTGTTTGAAAAATTTATTTCTTGAAACTAATATTTAATTAATAAAACAGTAATAATAATAAAAAAAAACTTAAGAAAGAGATTGAATAAAATTAAAGAAAAAAAATTAAGTTGAGCTACACATAAATAACAATGCCTCCTAATATCATAAAAAACTTTAAAATCTTATTTGTAAATTAAGTATAAACTAAATGGTATTAAATTAAACTGAATTACATTAAAAAAATGTGTTATGGAGTTAAAATTGAAAAAAAAAAGGCACTACAAAAATTCAATAAAAAATAAACATTAAAGTATAAAATTAGTAAAAAAAAAAAAAAACCAATTAAAAAACCAAAAAATCAACCTAGACACTCTGGCCTAGCCTACTAGCCAAACACGTATAGACTTAAACTTAATTTTTTTTTTTAGTTAAAGGGCAATATGACAATAAAAAATACAAATGACATGTAACTTGCTCCTTTTAATAATTTCAGCTACAACAATGGATGATAAATCAAATGCGGTGAATTTTGTAACTATAAATTTATTTTTTAACTCATTTTGTTATCTAAAATATCTTTATTAACCATTAAAAAAATTAATTAAAAAATCTAAAATAAACTTAAAATAAAAAAAAAATTGTGAACTCAGATTTACCATCTCAAATGATAAAAAAACCAAAACCAAAAAAATTCTTTAGCTTAAATTTACCACCTCAAGTGATGAAAAAACCAAAACCAAAAACAAAAACACATTTAGATAAAATTCCTTTTATCGAATAAAATAGCGTTGGATTGAGAGTCAGTTGACCATCAGGCACAAAAAGGACTTGATCAAGGAGAGAAAAACCATTAATAACTAAAATGAAAAAATAAAAAATCTCTTATATAATGGTGAACAATGGCGTGGCATGGAGCATAGTGATATGTCGACGCTATTTAGTGTTTCCTACAACTATCATGGCTTAAAGGATGATATCAAGTTATTACGTCCAATTCATGCTTGGTGTTTTTTAAAATCATTTTTTATTTAAAAATATATCAAAATAATTTTTTCAATTTTTTTTTTATTTTTGACATAACATAACAAAATTATCCAAAAAACACTAATTTTTTTTTTTAAAATCAAACACTTTTAAAATGCTCAGAAACATAATAGTAAACACGAACAAAGACAGCCTCTCAATCTTCTCTTCTATTAATGATGTGGAAATAGTAGTGTACGAAAAGGGTTTATAGGCAAAGAAATGATACCTTCGCATTTCATACCCGATAGTGACCAGCCAACCTGGTATCGCTGCTGCAGAGTTAGGATTTGAACCCGGGAATCATGGGTCACTATGCCGGAATGTAGCAGAAAACAATGCTGGAGCTCATAAATCAATCAATTAATAGGGATACAATTAACCACAACCTGGTTAAATAAAATAAAAAAAATACAAGCAGCCCTATTGTCATTTATCAGACGGCATGAGCGCTCAGCATTCAAACTTAAAAGCCACAAGCAGCTCCTCACTTCATAGCAAACATGGAGGCTCCAAACGGTTTCAAAATTATTAGATCCATCTGGCCTGTTCTCAAGTCCTGAGACTTTGATGTTGTACGACTCAGGAAATTGGTTTCAATTACACATCCACTATTCCTGTTCGTTGAACTTCGCTCTATACTTCTGTATTAGTATAGTACAAAAGTCAAATACTGGCCAATCACAGGACACAATGTTTCCGAGATGGGAGGAGCCGCAACCACCTTGAAGACAGTAATTTGCTTTAGATGCTACTTTCAATCAGACAGCATGCCATCCCAGGCAGTCTTGAGGCAGAATGTTAGATGATTGTTGTAGTTGCAGTAAACCATTCATAGGTGAGAATGAACTGCATCAGCCATGCCTGACTCATTCATCCAGCCAGCCAAAGATATGTTTATGTTTTTAACAAATCTATGAAGACCCAGCAGCATGACTGGTGAAACCCTTGGAGCTATCATTTTTTCTCCATCGCGGTTTCTTCTTTGTTGACTTCTCTTTCTTTGAGCCACTTTCATCATGTCTCACCTTCCCAATGTCACCATTTTCTTTCAACTTTTTCTTCCCAGACTTCTCTTTAGAAGAAGCTTTCCTCTTCTTTCCAGAGGAATGTGCACTACCATCTCCAGCATTCCCGCCTCCCCGTGGTAATGCTTCTTCTTCATCATCCAACTGCCAATTGCACAAAATTTCCTGTTGTCCATAATTTGACTGCAAGGGCTCCCCAGCTCCAGGCAGCAAGCTGCTAAAAGTTACCTCTCCATTTTTCCCTCCTTTGCGTTCCAGCAAAACTGGGTCAGGTCTAATTATGGTACCAAGAATGCTCCTGTTGGGTCCTAAGCTTAGGATGGTCTTCGGATTTGTCAAGGTTGTAAAGGCCATTGCAAAAGCAGATCTAATCTGCAATATGGATGGTAAAAGGGCTTTCAGTTAAATTTAGAGTAGCAAAAGAAATTCAAATCTTTTTATATTATCAATTTGATTCATTTGATGGAAGCAAAAGGATGGTATGAGTCACACAAGTTTCTCATCCCATCTAATGCAACAACCCGATTAGTTGAAACTTGTTAAGAGAGGTGAAGTGCTACGACCTATCCTGATGCTAACCCACCCAGCATAACTCAAAGCTAAAGCAATTCATCTATGGTACTTGGTAAATCAAACTGAGTATATAAAAAATAGATAAGTTAGAACTCAAAATGTTATGAAATATATTAAATACAAACAAGATTTTGGAATGCTGCTCCCACATTTAAACTAAAATGAACCTTCCTGTCAAAAACCTTTATTCGTAGTGCAGTGAAAGTGATGAAAAGCAAGCAAAAATAATATTATAACAGTGAACAAACCTGGAAATAATTGAATGAATTCTTGCCAATGTCATTCTCTGGTGCCTATTCATCATAAATAAACAGTTTTAGTTCATCAAACAGAAACAGAATAATGACCGCTTTTGTCGAAAAGGTCTCCAATTTTTATTTTAATTGTACAGTCTGATCCCTTCGAAAAGGTCTCCAATTTTTATTTTTATTTTAATTGTACAGTCTGATCCCAATCTCAATATTCTGGAAAAGGGTTCAGAAATGCATGCCCATAAACCAGAATACAAAGGCAAAACCAAGTGTGAACTTGTAATTGCTAAGACAGGACCCAGTCTTTCCTGGGGAATGCTTGGGAATCCTATATTTAGCTCTAGAGATGCATCCAACACCCACAGAAAGCAGTAAAAGATGTAATTAAAAAATCATATCAATAACTTTTTGAGGCAACAAATCAATCCCACTCTTTGATTTGCTTAATAGTCAATTAATATATGGAAATGTCACATCTTAGTAAAGAAAGTCAACCTGTGGGTCTTCAATTGCAATGAGAAACGGCCGTCCATTGTTCATAAACCTAAAACAGAAAATGAGGTAAGATCAAATGTAATGTTTTTAATAACTGCAAGCTAAAAGAAAAAATAAAAATTTTCAATCCTAAAAGCCTTGCTTTTCCTTTACCCTTTGGTACGCTTTGAAAAGAATGTCCCAGTCCCTTTGCAAGATACACCAACATTTGTGGTGTTCAATTTGCGTCCATAAAAATCAAAAAAGTGTATCTGCTTTCCAAAAACAGACTAGTAAGAATATAGAAGTCTACAAACTGTTACCCCCCAAAATTAAAGGGTTCATATTCTCCAATTAAGTTTTACAAAAATAAAAATAAAACACAGAACATATCAAATGCATCATGAACACCATGCTATCTTGAAGTTACATTGTACTGAATAAGGGCTTGAAGACACGTACCAAGAGAAGCCCCAAATTACGTTCTAGAGAAGCCTGGCACTTCCTATGATTCTGTAGCATCAAATGTGTCATGAGGCAGTGGCAATATTGTTTGATGAGAAAAGGAAATGGTAACATGCCAAGGGAAACATTGAGATACTTTAAATTGTTTATAAGAAGCATGATTCTATCATATCAATAAACCATAGAAAAACTCATTTGCCCTCATACAAGTAGAATGCTCTCTAGAGGTCAAATGAAAGAAAGCTCTAAGAAAAAGGAAGAAAAGTCCTATCTTATCTGAAATAAACTACAGAAAGTGGTCTGTCAAGCATCCAAACCTCAGCTGAGATGAAACATGGTAGCATTTGAGGTATATTTTCTGTCTTATTAAAAATACAATATGTAATCTCTTCATTTTACATTCATAGCTTGACCAAATACAAGATCTTCCTAATCACCATCATTTCAATAACTTTGATAAACTCACCATTGCTGTGGCATCTTACAGCATATGAATAGTAGGGAATTAAAGGATTAACTAGCAACAACGTGCGCATGCATGCAAGCTAGAATGCAGATGAAGAATTCATTCAAAGGTTTAATTCATTACCTGCAACATTGCCATTAGCATGGCAAGCAGAGCATAAGAACTTATGCCGCCAGAGTATACCTGCATGTTTTAAAGAAAACTTGAATCAGGCAAACAAAAAAGAACAATGATTGAGAATAATGTGTTGAAATCTATGAGAATGCTATTAGATGGCTGGAATACAGATATATACCTCGTTGAGTTCTCTTTGTTGTAGGAATACTTTCAAAATCAAACATAATGGTCGTAGTTCAGGCCACTTGGATATTGCATTCTGAAAGAAACAACATTTAGCTTTGACTTCAAACTACTTTTACACACATAAGCAATTAAAAAAAGGGTGTGTGTGTACATGTTATGAGAAAGTGAGATGATTGTTATACTTCTTACTCACGTCATAAAGAACAAAATATCAGAAAGGAAGAACACAGACAACAAACCTTGATAAACTCAGCAGCTATGGGTCCACCATTCACATCAAAACTGAGATCCACAAAAATCATTGATCAGTTTCCAAAACAAGCAATGCAGAATGCAATCAGAAATTTAGTTGACAAAGAGATAAAACCTACAGATTGTATATACAGCTCCCGAACCATAATATAAATGAAACACAAAAAAAAATTTACAAAATTGATATGTCAAATAAAAAGTTCGGAGAAAAAAAGAACAGCATCTTTGCTTAATTAAGTGTTGTAGTATAAAATATTCCTTAAAAAATTTATTAGCTAAAGCATGTAGAATTTCTTTATGACAATCTCTATATGCACTTACCCAGGCTACAAATTAAGCATCTTATAACGATCAGGCTTCATAGAGCATCTCATAATTTCAGTTTCTCATTTAGCTTCCCCCCCATGTGTCATGTAAGTTTAAACCCAAAGCTACTGACTAAAATTCTATCTAGACCAAGTCTCTCAATTGTTGTTCAGTATTGGATTTCCTTTATTTATTTATTTATAAAATCACCCAATAATTGAACCAATAAGAAAGCAAATTTACCAAACCCACACTAAAAAAATAACTACATTGTAACTACTAGAACACAGTATAAGCAATCCCCCCTTTACATCTCATCTCCTTTTTTTCTTTGAAATGCATTTGGACAATTATTAAGAGGAATCAATTCAATAAGGCTTGAAATGGACTGCAAACCTTGAGAAAAAAAAATTAATCTCAAAACATTGCAAGGAGAAAATCAAACTAGGAAATGGAAATACAAATGATAAATAGACAGACCTTATATCAAAGGAAACACCACTTCTCTTTTCAACGAATTTAATAATGGGCACACGAGCCTTTGCAATCACCTAAGACAATAAAAGAGAGCACAATAGACCTTTGTTTTTTGGGCAGCAATAGTATTCCAACTGTTGACGGAGGCATACCTGTATCTTCTTTGCAATGCCCTTCTGAGACAAGGCTCTGGAAAGAGCGTTTAAACCAATCTGTGGGCTTTTTAGTCCTGAATCCAGAATCACAACCTACAATCAATAGCATTTAACAAAAGCTTTTGTTTCAGTTGATTAGTCAGCAGTATTCCACAGTAAATTCTTAACAAATGTCACATTATACTTACATCAATGTCACTGGTTGGAAGATAAAGTCCTGTCCTAAACGAACCAAAAACTTCCACCTACAAAGCAAACACAGCAACGCAATTTTACTAGCTTTTATGCTGCTTCTATAAAGAAATGGTGTGGGCGAGTGAGAAAGAGAGAGGGGAACAAAGAATTACCTTACAATTGGGCCATATATATTTAATAACATCAAAAACACATCGTACAGCTTCAGCACGTGAAGCTTGTTCCTCCTGAGTTGGTGACAGAAAATCACAGAAATCCACTATCTCTGCATCACCCAGCATCAGATATGAGCTCACTATAAATGCTCGTTGACCAGAATTTCTCGAAAAAAAACAAAAAAGAAGCTAAAACATATTCCAAACATCACATGAAAAGTTCACAAATTTAAACATTCCAAGTAAGCTAAACATAAAAATTTAGCATACCCACATTGTCACCCACATTGGACTTCCATAATGAAGGCCAATAAATTCTTTAAGAGATTATAGTTTTCGCTCTGTTAATTTTATTTTATTTTTTGCTCAAGAGGGAATCGAAATTAACCAATATTGTGGTACCATCCAGATTTTAAGATACTACTAGAGTCACATTAAATCAATGAATATGGAAAGTACTCATATTTCCTCCATAACCACAATATATCTAAAGAATTAATGAGCAAGAAATCAACTTTTCACACACAAAAACAAGAATTAGTAGGAAGAACCCACAAATTAATCAACAAAAAGAAAGAAAAAACTAAAAAGCACTCTTTTGTCCATTATCATCAAGGTATACCTTTATGTAACTGTAACATCGGACTCCGAAATTTACTATCCCCTCTAAACCACACGCTCTCCGTCATTGGTTTCGGCAAGTTCTCCGTCTCCACCTCCGCTTTCCACTTCCCCTTAGCCTCTCCATTAACAGGCGTCTTCAGCTCCAACTCCTCCTCATCACCGCCTCCGACATCAAGAGAGAAGAAATCAGGTGCATCAGATTCCGCAGCAGCAGCAGAATTGAAGGCGGAGAGAGAAATCTCATTACGGAATACAGAGTACGGTTGGAGAGGATCGGCCAGCGGCGATCGAATTGGAGTGGTAGTGGGCGAAGGAGAAAGTGGGGTTAGGGTTAGGGTTTCGTAAAGAGGAATTGCTTGGGCTTGAACTGGGGATTCCATAGCTGGGAATAACTTTATTGAAAAATAAAAATGGGGAAGAAGAGTTTTGGAGGTGGGTTTTGTTGTGGCAGTGAAAGGGAAAACAATGATAGGGTTTTTGTTTGTTGGGGTTTTGAATAGTTTTGTGGGGTTATATATGGAGAAGGTAGAAAGTAGAGATGGACACCAACATGGGTGCTGTTCTTGTTCTGGAACTAACTAGGGTTTTACCGTGCCTGAAGCAGTAGTAGTCATCTGAATTTTACTTCTTTCCTTTTTCTAGTGAATGAGCAATTTATGTTCGTAGTCATTGATGCAGTGTTTTATACTGTGATAGTGTTTTTTTTATTTAAAAATATATTAAAAAAATATTTTTGATATTAATATGCTAAAATGATATAAAAATTAAAAAAATAATTATTATTATTCTTTAAAGGATATGGTGCACTGCAAAAATAAACACTAACTACATAGTTTTGAGCACCCGTACCCGCCCTCTGTTAAAATGGACTGGTAAAAAAAAAAAGTGCAGTCGTATTTTTTAATTAA